ATCTTTTAGTAGATAGGCGAATTTATTGTAGGGTCAATCGATATGTAATTAAAAAAAACAACATATTTTATTAATTGTGGCAAATGGTTGACAGTGCCGTATGTGACAAAAATACTTTATATACTAGAGTGTAAGTGTACGCCGCTATAGGTAGGCCTTCCTAATGAACTGGAGGTTGGTCATCGGAGGGTAGTAGTTGGGCAAACCCCACATAACCCTGTATTCCCCCCCAGAAGGTAGGGTACGTTTTCCCCACGCTACCAGAAAAATTAAGTTGGCTTAAGAAAAGATAGATATAGGTTAGGTAAAAGATTTAAACTAAACTAACTCAAAGTTATTCTATCTCATTGACATTATTTAATTATGTTTACTTCTATAGTAATGTTGTATAGAGGAAAGTTTTGTATTTTTTTTACGTATAGAAATAACTCAAAATCTACTAGACCGATTTTAAATTTTCATTTACCATTAAACAGCTACGCTTTCACCGAGTAACATAGGCTATATTTTTTTAATTTTACGAGGACGAAGTCGCTAGCAACAGAGTATAACTATATGTAACTATATACTAAATATACTTACATTAGAAGTTAGCCCTTACGATTACAAATAAAACAATTGTCCTTATAACACGCGCGAAAACATTTTAGTAATCGGAAAATGGTGCGAAAACACTTGTAGGGAGGTAATGGAGCGGCCGCCGGCCGGTGCGAAAGATATTGTCGTACTGACCGGCTCTATTCTATTACTGGCTATACTCTCTTATACCTAACGTTTTTATTAGAATACGTACTTAGATCTCCATTTAATTGATGTATTTTTGTAATATATTACGACTGGTGACACTTAATTATCTAACTAGAAGTTATATGCGAGGTAACCTAAATATTTAAAACACGTCTGTACGACAATGTTTTGTGTTCTTTAAGAAAAAATAAGTAGATTTATTTTATTTTTCTGCTATGAAATAGTAGAATAGTGACCAGTACACGGAAAAAAGCTAACAAAAAAGTAATTGTTTAAATGTCACTTTTAAGTTGAAAATTAAAAAAGTTTTGAGTTAATAATGATTTTGTTTTCTTCAAGCAGTTTCTTTTAGATCTAAAATAAAAGTAATACAAAAAGTGTTTCCTCTCTCTCATTATTCTTAAGTGAGAAATTGAAACAATTTTTTGAAGAAAAGGCCGTGTTGAAATATTAGTTGAAACTTTATAGTCTCGAGTTGGTTTAATTAAATAACCTGGAAGAGCTTAACCGGAAGTCGCTGTTTCAAAATGTCTGCCACAGCGTTAATAAACTTTGTCAGACTGTTAGGAAATTTGAAAATAAAAAACAGATAAATTACAAATAATCAAACATTTTTTACGCATTTCATTAACTATTTAAATACTGGCTGAAAAATTTAAGTTAATATTATATTTGAATTACTTATAATTCATTATTGAAAATTTTACAAGTATCAAACAAGATTTTCTTGATAAAACTGGGCGAGAAAATGGCTTTGTTGATGTTTTATGGATAAACGATAACAGTTTTGCGGTAAAATTAATTAAATTTTATGCGATATTAAATACTTAACTGGTGCTTGGATAATTAATGCTAAAGGAAACTTTAAGCCCATTGTGAAGGCTTGCGAGGACTTTATCAATATAATTACAACTTTCCACTAAGTATGCCTAAGCGTATCTCAAATTAAACATAGCTTTAGTGTAAGTATAACCGCTCGTTCAACAATTAACACTAACTTAGATAAGTATAACCTTAAAAGAATCAATCTTCGCACATGAAAACATTAAATGCAAACAATCCTTATTTTCTATCAATTATTTTTATTAAAACGCAACTAGTGTTAAAATATTTGTAAAATTATTAATACGAGTAGTATATGAAATTTCTGTGCATTACGTAATGTGTCATGCTGCCGTACTGTTGGCTTCGAATACAATAATGTTATGAATACTGCAGTGATAACAAGAGAGCACAGAACACTGCTGGGATTGTCTCATGCTCTATTGTCAACGTGTTCCGTAAGCAAAAATGATTATTGGAGTATTACAATGAACTGTTACACCTGAGCCGTGAGATCATTAAACACAGAACAAGAGACTGCCTATTTTGATCGGGTAGTTCTTAAAACGATATTTGTAACTAACTGACCAAGCATGCGTTGTCTAGATTTATTTTATTTTTAACACACCTTTATAACTATTAATATTTTCGTAATTAAATCAGAAAACATCATTGAATATAATTAAATTTTAAAACATTAAGTATGTCGTTAAATTATTATTAAGGCACAAATGTTCACTGACTAAAAACACCCCATTAAAATGTTATTCAAATCTGTTCAGTGGTTTTATGGTATACGATATATAACACAAACTCATAAACATTGATTTTAATTATTTAGACCGACGTATTCATTAACAAATACGCGCAAAATTTACCAACAAAACATACTTAAACATCATTGTGTAACTTAAATTACGCAGTATACTGTATTCCCGAAAGACTGAAATAAAATCAATGAAAACATTATTCAGCAATCTGAAGATATAAATAATTCAAAGTTTCCGTTGCGATAATCCCTTACGCAGTCCGAGCGAAGCTGAAATAAGAAATCCTAAAACGTAGCGTTAATTTAAGCGATCTGAGAATAGATCAACTACGGCTAAGACTGTTTAAATGTGTGTACTTGGGGAGGGGACTTGTGTACTTTCCAATGAATATTTGTGTTTGTACTTTTCTGTTTAGTCGTGTTATCTGTAAATCGCGTGTACATAAATACCAATATCCTTTCTATTCGGCATTTCTATAGTTTAAAGAGTTTAACCACTTTTGCAATTACATCTTTTAGATTAAGAATTTTACCACTTGAAGGCAACGCACCCCAATGTTTGGAAAAACATTACTTAAACTTCGTGTGCACCGTAGAGCATACTCGTAATATTGTAAGCAAGGGGATGATGGAGGATATAAAGTTACCAATTTGATGCCCATCTGACCAGCAGGTCTGGCTTTGTCGGTAGAAATCGAATCAAGTCTAGATCTGTCAAGTCTATATGCGCCAGCGATACTGCCTGCAGATGCATCCGTGTACAGCATTATTGTTGGATGGAAGGATGTTTGTTAGAAGTTCCTATAAGGATCTCGATGAAATTTGGCAAAGATGTAGAGGATAGTCTAGAAGGATACATAGACTACTTATTTTTCGCGGAGTCGCGGGCAAAAGCTAGTTGTTTCATAAACCACATGCACGTGCGGTGAACGTGATAGAATACGTACACAGAAACATGCTGATTTCTCTTACATTTGTAAAATGTTTGTTTTACTTTATTTTTAGACACACTTCTGCCGTAGCAACCAGTCGGTCCGCCATAAATTCTAAAAACGGCTTACGATTTCTCGAATGCTCATTTTTCGGGCACGTTATAAACGAATGTATTGACAAAATGTTTCTAGCAAATACTCATTATCTTTTGTTAGCATTGATAACAGACTGATGGTAATAAATTTGCGAAAATGTCTACTGATTTAAAAAGAGAGTATAATAAATTATAACTTGTACGCGTGGTTTAATTTTGTATTTATTTAGGCGAATAAACAATTTAGAGTAGTTCCAAATAAAAAAAGTAGGCAGTAGTCATTTGATTCGAGGTTCTATATAGCATGAATGTACCAAAGATTTTTATCTTTTTTAATTACAATATGTACGTAAAACATCAACGCGAGATCACGTCAGATTACGTACATCTAGAGCAGATGTCAGACGCTGATTATTGGACATGAAGGTCTATCACGAATATTTGCGTATTCGTAACATCATCAACTAAATTTGTAGTAGATTTGATGGTGTGCTTATCGCCTGGTAGGGTCACTGCAGAAAAGTAATAAAAATTTGTTAATACAGTTACTAAAACGTTCTTAATATTCGTGACACCCCCACCTTAAGGTGGTCTCCGAGCTCTTTGGAGGAGACATATAACGAGCTGATGATGACGATTATGTTGCGGAGGCGTAAATGTACTAGTAAAACTTGGTCGAACAATCAGAAAGTTTAGGATTTTAAATGCTTTTCTGGACTTTAATAAAAATCATAAATATTTAGACCTAGGGCGGATCGCTAATACATTGTAACATTAGCTAATTAATAAATAAATTGAGACTAAAACATTATCATTGGAGTAATGAACACACAAAAAACTAGGCGCGGCAAGAAAGTAAACAAGCTTTGTGTAGCTTTACTTATACATTGACTAGGTAAGCTAATTAAGCTGCACTGTTTGTAAACGTCAAGGAAATTAATAAAACTTGAATACACAGCTTCTCCAAGTTGTATCTTACATTTTTTATATTAAGAAACCTACCAACGTCTTGCCCGAGATAGATTTATATTACACTTTTTCAGCTACTATTAAAGTCTCCTAACCTCCCCAACAAGACGTATTCAAATAGTAATTTTGCATTTTCAATTGAATTTTTCTTATTATAACCGAATTTGTTATAACTTAACTTTTAACTTTAATTGTTAATTGATTTGTATTTTTGTATGTATTAAAATAACTAAAAGTATTACGCCGATTCCAAAAAATCTTACACCATTAAAAAGCTACGTTATCTGTAAGTAACTTGAGGCTACATTTTTTATTGTTTTTTTAATGTCACGCGGGCGAAGTTACGAGCAACAGCAAGTTCTTAATAACTGAATTAGTTGTCCGTCAGTCTTTATCCACGAATAACGATACTAAAGAATCTAAGCTCTGTGTTAATTCTGGATATCGTGGATTTTATGACATCAAAGTGAAAGATTTATTAAAACCAGTCTACTAGTTTTACAGATTAAATAAGCAGTCGTTTCCTAAAGCTATTGTCTATTAGGATTTATCAATGAAAATGAAATCAACGGAAAATAATACAATCATAACACATTTTCGTTTAAGAAAACATTTAACGATTCAACTTTTTAAAAACAAAACACAAAAGAAAAATTTATTACTTACAGTATAATCCATCGATTCTGTGACGTATATAGCGTTATTAATAGATTAACACGAACTCTTGTAGTACGAGGAAAAGCGTAACAATTTCACTCAATCACAAACTTTCCGGTAACCTCGCAAGTCGTAGCAAACGGCGTTTCATACGACAGACTTCGCCGCACTGGCCGCTTGGCTGCGGCCGCGGTTTCGTGCCCACACTGTGATACAATGCGATTTAAATAGTTTCATAATAAACCTATTGAATAATCAACTTTTTCTATTTCAAACTTTTATAATAAAAAATACTGCTGTATACTTGCAATAGAGCCGTACTCAGAATAGAGATTTTTTTGCTATGTCAAAAATTACGGATGCTTCCCGATTGCACTTTAGCACACCGAATGATATATTTATAGAGTGAAAAAGACACAAATGCAATTAGTAATACATTACATGAGATATGATGATCAACATATTTAAGTAGTAGTTTAGTATTCTGTTGCTCGCGACTTCGTCTGCGTGTAATAAAACAATATTAAAAAATATAGCTATAAATATATACTCACAGATAAATTACCTTTCTAATGGTGAAATAATTTTTAAAATCGTCCTAGTAGTTTTTGAGTAATTTCAATACATACAAAAAAAGAAATATTTCTTCTTTATAATATTAGTATATAGATGATACATTAATTAAAAATGTTACTGAAGCTGCAATTAAATTGCATCGAGAAATTAAAAGCACTCTGGAACTATTTTAAAAAGATATTCTTTGAAGCTTTAAGGAGTGAACAATGTTTTATAGAAATATTGTTCATATTTTGCCTTTTATAGAAATAATAATACTGGATGAAAGTGGATTGCTGACATTGTAGTCTAAACTTTAAACATAGAAATATCGCAAGCAATCGGTGAAAGGAAAGAAGTAGCGAGTGATATAAAGAAGTCAAGAAATCATAGTTCTATCTCTATAAACTCTGTTAACGTCTGCAAGGTTCACTGTTAAAGATTGTCACCGAATATTAGGACCTCCTAAACGAATTGATTTGTTATGAAAAGTCATGTTTCATTTGATTGTTACTTTTCTTTTTGAATGTCACATACATTTTACTGGTTTTTCAGTTAATTAATGATTGTTTCCCTTATTGATTCGTTATAAGAATGAAATAAAACTTAAAATACACAAAGATAAATTAGACCAGACAACACGTCTTATTTGCTATGTATTATTTGTTCTGAGATAAAAAGTCTGTGCGTATACAAACAAACGTCCGTGTTTTACGCAAATTAGTGCTCGTTATCAAAAGATAACTAAATGCATGTTTTATTCATAACCAATTCTTTAACGTCGCTAACTGAGATACTACAAAATAATCATTACTTTTCCGTTTCCGACAAAGAAAATAATCATGTAACCCAAAAGATAACGCCTTCTGCATACTTCAACCAAATTTAATTAGGGTTTATTTCAAACACTAGATAAAAGCATGTAAAATGCAATGAATACAATACTAACCGCTTTCCTTACTAGTTGGGCGAGATTTCTACAGCGCTCTTTTTACCATGCTTTAGACAAGTTTAACCGACTTGGTAGATTGAGTAATTCGCTGATTTCGGCACCCTTTCTTGTGCAGCGCCCTGGGCGGTCGTTCGACCGAGCCCTAATTTAACATTGTCACCGGATATACAAATAAAAAGAACCATGACTCGACTGAACCATCATTCTGTTGGCATTCGATTTCAAAGCGCTCTTTCTTTCTATTTTCTTGAATTATTTTAAATTTAGCGATAGATCCTCAGCTTACATGTGTAATATTCTCACAAAGTAGTCGTTAAAACGCGGAGACTAAATATTACTTGACTTAATTGCTTCATAAATTCACCCAAAAATTGTTTCAACAGCTACTAAATCTTTGAAACGATCCAGCATAAATCTTAGACGCTAAATGTGGATTATGAGTTAGTACATTTACATGTTTCATATGAAGAAATACATATAGTTGTCTTTTTTATGCGTGTTTTTAGAATTATGGGTTTCAGGTTTGAGCTTACTAACTTTAAATTAAATATCTTTAAAAGTTGTAACTTGGCCAAACATTTACAGTAGAATAAATAATTTAAAAGGTACAGAGTCTAGAAAATTACAGTGAAATTTTTAGTCAACCTTACATATATTAAAAGGGAATGAAAAAGAAGATTTGAATAGCAAGGGGTATCTATCGATAGTTTATTTTTTTAACCATATGTTTATAGATTTCCTTGTCGATAGTTTTAGTGTTAAAATTATGCCATACCTGTTTTTTAAGAAGTCTGTGAGAACAATCTTCCAAGTTAAAATTGCTTAGATATAGTAGATGTGTTAAATTACATTCCTATTGAATTCGACTATGCAAATAAATGAACACATTTAAGTTTTAACATAGAGCACTTCATAAAACTACATAGTAATAGATTATAGTTCGTTGTAGAAACGCCGACAAGCCCGAGAGATACGCCAACACTGGCAGCTTCTACGTAAAGAGATTAAAAAATATATAGAGGAAGCTTAGTTGAAAATATCGATGAAAAAATATTGTTCACTATGCCTTGTCTATCTATTTCTTAAAAGTCTTCGTACGTACTGCATCTGTATCTATAGGTACACTGTACAACTGCGTAACTGATGCTTTTAAACTGCTCGTTGTAATAAAAACCTTTTGTAAACCAATAAAGTAATAGTAGTCAATGTATTATATAAGAATACAAACGAAAGCAAACGTTATAACGGTGTGTGGTCACAAAGTTTCATTTGAGTTTTATTATCCGACTATCTCAGGAGGGCAATCTTTTTCGCGCGTGTGTTAGGGGTTTTAAGTTTGCGGGTACGACTCGACCTAAGCCTTCTTATATCTACATACAATTCTTCATGCTGGTTGTACTGTGCGCCATACAACCGAATCTTCAAAACTTCAGATTTTCCAGTCATATTCGTTCACACTTTCGGAGATAGCAAGGTTAATATTGACAGATTACGTCACGAAGAACATCATCTTTAAGTTTCACTTTGGACTTTTGTACTCTGATTCGATCCGAAAATCAGTTTAGAACAGAATAAATAAATTGCATCGTGCATTATTAATATTACGATATAATAACACACGATAAAATGCTGCAAAATTCAATGTGACACGAACGATATTCCAAAAACTCGGAATATTTATTACTCTGTTAACGCAATAAATATTAATATCGAAGAGTAAGAGAGTAATGGAATAAACATTTTAATGACAATTTCAGCATCGCGTTTATTGATCACATAGGTGAACTATAGGTCAATTATTACTAATTACAAAAGACCAACTTTTTCGTTTGTGCAAAAACTTAAAAACACTTTATGTTAAGACAAAACACACTTTAGAACAATGTTATTCGTTATGTTTTCACAATGTTTACGCAAACATTGTTGTATGTTAATTAGTACCGCCTTATAAACAGTTTAAGCTTTGTTTATCTTCTAAAATAATGCTTAACTTGAAAACTTTTGTGTGCTACGGTAATACGTTAACAAAATAAACGCCTGCATTTTTATGCGTTTCATAACCAGTGTTAGCTTTTTAACTATTTTGATGTATTCTGTATTCTTTTAAGCTATTTAGTCTGTGCTATAAATCAATACAATTTATCTTTATTGAAAATATCAATACAAACTTTGTAATTATGATGCAACGTATTACTTAAATATTTATTTCGTAATTTTAAAATGTAAGAATTCCCTTTGTTATGTTAATAAACGGACAGTAATCAGATGTCAGAAATAAAGGTGTGGTATTAAAGCGGCTACACGACGGCCATATTGGTAAGGTTATTGTGTACAAATTGGAAGAAAACATAAGAGCTAAAGAAGACTATATTTTACTATAGCATGATATGGCTGTGGCTCCTATACCAGCAACAAAATAACTCAAACCCGTAACCCTGAGGATTAGGCAGAAACCACTTACCTCCATTAAGCTCGATCCTAATACACCTCACTTGTTTTTTCTATTATACAGTTATAAATCTACGCATAGATGCTTATCGTTTTCCAATGTTTTTTATTCCACACATAACCATATACCTGACTTGTAGCAATTCAGTGACATCATACAATTTAACATTACCATTCCGTAACTATTCCCATTATACAAGTCAAAGGAGCCACAGGAATTTAGTAGTTAAATTAAATTCACCACTGCAAGTGCTATTGTGGTGAGCATAACGTGCCGCCTGATTACCTTGTTACCTTTAGCGTTCTATAACACTTCAATATGAACGGTACACTATTTCTGTTAAATTGAAATTTAATTAGACGATTTTTATCATCAGGCAAAACTTGTGCAATACATGCACTTCAAACAATATTTAATAGGCTCACCTAGACCGAGTTTAAATCATACTAATATCATAAATACGAAAGTCTGGATGGGTAGATGGATGTTTGTTACAGTTTGTAGCATAAACGGATTTCGATGAAATTTGGTATAGATGTAGACGATAGGCTGGAAGAACACACA